ATTGTTTTTGGTTCTTGTGGCTGTCTTCTTGTTTGATGGCAGATGCTCCCTTCACCCTGGCCAAAAAGGCTAAAATGACCAAAGAAAAAGTGGAAAACAGTTAAACATGAGAGGTTTTTGGACAGTTTGTGTTTTTTCCATTGATTAAGCACTGCTTCCAGGCAAGAGTGATACCATAAATCCCCTATAGCTGCAGAAAAGGCTAACATTGTTATCTTTTTACAAAAAAAAACAGCTGAACATGAGAGGTTTTTGGACCAATTTTGTGTTCTCCATTCTTTAAGCACCGGTTCGAGCACCGTTTAAGCACTGGCACCGTTTCAAAAGTACCGGTTTGGTACTGGTATCGGATAAAACCTAAACAATACCCATCCCTAGTAAGACCTAGTTTTAGACTAAGTCAAAATGGGAATCATATAAAAACTTGTGACAAATTTTGCTCTTTTTTTAGTATTGCACTGCAATAATACCTAAATTTGAATCATATGAGATGTGCAAAATGGCTCTCCTTAGCTCTTCTTTTTAGTTAACGCAAATTTGCACATTTTAGCATGCTGACACACTAAACTAAGATAGCAAACACTTTACTTGTTAAACATCAGCACTTCCATGTTTGCTTGTTGACATTTAATTTAGCTCAAAATACCATGGAGCATATGTATAGCTTCATGTTAGTAAGTGGACTGGTACACATAGTGCTTTTCCATGTTACCAGGCCACTCAAACTTTTTTGAACTACAAGCCTCATGCACACATGTACACACAATCACACATGTATTTATACAAGTGTTTTTTTCTACACCTAAGCACCTTGTCTAATATAACACTTTAACTCCTCAGCCACAGCCACAAGGTGTATCATCATACTGTATCATGTCATTCCATGTCATGTTTCGTTCCTAAGTAGAAATCTAGCTCTAGGTATGTATGACTTATCCAAAATCACCCTGGAAAGTGTAAAAGTAATTGCAGAGTAGTGAAGATGGTGGCCAAGGAGTATGAGTGTGAAATTCCCCAAAACCCTGGCCCTTATGATAATAAAGTTAATGATAATAATAACAACACAAAAAAAAACACATTACAACAGCAATCAAAATTGACTTATTAAACCATATATCAAACAGAGACACAATAAAAATATGCATGTTTAAATGTAGAGGAAAAATATTCACAAGAGAATTGATATTTACAACTTATCACAAAAAAAATCTCATAATGTTTATGTAAATAAAGCATGTAAGTGTATAGGCTGTCACAGAAAACTGTGGGTAGAAGAAGGTATTATAATTTTCATATCCACTTGGATCCCAGTCCTGCAAATTTCATCATCACAAAAAACGGACTCATTGAATTTACATACAATACACCAACTTTACATGTGCCCAGGCTAATCTCCCAAAATCCCATACAGTTGAAGGCAATGGTTTAATTTTTTGCTAGTCAATGTGATGGTCACAGAAACAGCAGAAATATAGAGGAAAATGGTGGAAATCAAGATTGCTCCGAGGGGCTGCTTTGCCATTGAGTTAGTTGTGTTGATGGTGACATCACCAACTGCACAAACTGTCTGTGAGTCAGTCCACTGATGTCAGCTGTCACATACAGACAGCTGCACCAGCTGATATCAGAAGCCTCTGGCTGTTGCAGTCCATTAGATGCAGTGTAAACACATGTGGGTATTTAGTTGGTTGAGATAACATCGGCATCATAACTCTGTCATGTTGACAGCAGATCTGAAATTATAAAAGGACTCGTGGAATGGCCAAATTTAACCTCCTAAGACCCAAACTTCTTCATAGCATGCATTTTTTAATTTAAAAAAAGTTAAAAGTTTAAGCACCTTGTTTTTTCCAAACTGTGAGCATGATGTTTTTAATTTTACTGCAGTTCAGAGCTTTTGCCACAGTCAGCTTCCACTGACTGTATATAGGGAGGACCCAAATGCAGACAGGCAAAATGAAAACTTGATTCTTGACAGAAAGCAAGCCGTTTATTGTGGTTGATTAGAGGGTACAGAACAAAAGGCAAAACCAATGCAACACTAAGCAAAAACCTAAAATGGGAAGACTAGAAAGAAAACTATGGGCAGAAATCTGTGCCATCAGAAACTGAATTTGAATAAGTTAAATTCAAATTTGAATTGCTCGGATTGAATCTGAATTGTAACTTGAATAAATGCTTTTCAAAACTGAATTAGCCTAATTTGAAATTCAATTTATTGGTTTGAAAATGATCATCACTAAATTGAAATTAAATTTTATATTTTGAAAATGAATTCATTTGCTTTGAAACCGTATTTTATCCTTTAAAAATTTAGCTCTCGAATAATTTCAGATTCACTTCTCACCATTCAGTTTCAGTTCTACAATTCAATTTCAGTTCCAAAATTCAGTTTTTTGGGACTTACATCCGGTTCAAGAGTAATCGAGCGCAGATTAATTGAATACTGTTATAAGAATATATATGTACAATATATAAGTGTATGCATTTCTGGATGTGTATACTAAATATGTTTTTCTACGTGTGTGTGTGTGTGTGTATACATATTTTACAAATTAAATAGAGTAAACAATAAATAAAATATATAAAAATATACAGAGTTGAGACATGTGCAAAACAGTGGCATTACTGTACAGTATGGAGTGCATAATGTTGAAGTTCCAGTAGTGAAGCTGAGGTGTCTATGACGTGTTCAGCAGTCTGATGGCCTGGTGGAAGAAGCTGTCTCTCAGTCTGCTGGTACGGGACCGGATGCTGCAGAACCTCCTTCCTGATGGAAGTAGTCTGAACAGTTTATGGCTGGGGTGACTGGAGTCCTTGATGATCCTCCCCGCTTTCCTCAGGCACCGCTTCCTGTAGATGTCTTGGAGGGAGGGAAGCTCACCTCCAATTATCCGTTCAGAGCACCGCACTACTCGCTGGAGAGCTTTGCAGTTGTAGGCGGTGCTGTTGCCATACCAGGTGGTGATGCATCCAGTGAGGATGCTCTCAATGGCACAGTGATAGAAGGTCCTGAGGATGCGGGGGCTCATGCCGAATCTTTTCAGTCTCCTGAGAAAGAAGAGGCGCTGCTGCGCCTTCTTCACTGTTTTGTTTGTGTGTACTGACCACGTAAGATCCTCAGCCAGATGTACACCAAGGAACCGGAAGCTGCTCACTCTCTCCACAGCAGCGCCGTTGATGGTGATGGGGGTGTGTACTTCTCTGCACCTCCGGAAGTCCACTATCAACTCCTTTGTCTTTGCGACGTTGAGGGTGAGATGGTTGTCTTGACACCAGTGGGTCAGGGCGCTGACCTCCTCCCTGTAAGCCGTCTCATCACCGTTGGTGATAAGACCCACCACTGTAGTGTCGTCCGCAAACTTCACAATGATGTTGGAGTTGTTAGTGGCTGTGCAGTCGTAGGTGTAGAGTGAGTACAGGAGAGGGCTCAGTACACACCCCTGTGGAGCACCAGTGTTCAGTGTGATGGGGGATGAGGTGATGCTGCCCAGTCTGACCACTTGGCGTCTGTCAGACAGGAAGCTAAGGATCCAGCTGCAGAGGGAGCTGCTCAGTCCTAGATCCTGCAGTTTCCTGTCCAGCTTCGAGGGAACGATGGTATTGAATGCTGAGCTGTAATCTACAAACAGCATTCTCACATACGTGTCTCTCTTCTCCAGGTGTGACAGGGCAGTGTGTAGTGTCAGGGCTATGGCATCATCAGTGGACCTGTTGTGGCGGTATGCGAACTGTAGAGGGTCCAGTGAGTCGGGTAGTGCAGAGCAGATGAAGTCCCTGACCAGCTTCTCGAAGCATTTGCTCACGATGGGGGTCAGGGCTACAGGTCGCCAGTCGTTCAATGAGGAGATGGTGGAGGATTTGGGTACAGGGACGATGGTGGCCATTTTGAAGCAGGCTGGGACTACAGACAGAGAGAGGGAAAGGTTGAAGATGTGTGTGAACACTCCAGCCAGCTGAGCCGCGCATGACTTGAGGACGTGGCCGGGAATCCCGTCCGGACCACTAGCTTTGCGTGCGTTCACCTTCTTGAAGCTCTTCTGCACATCCTCCTCAGACACAGTGTGCGCACTGATGTCATCCGCGGTGCGCACACTGTCCGGTCTCATGGTGTTTGCTGTGTCGAATCTAGCGTAGAATACGTTTAGATCCTCACACAGAGAGGCCGTGGTCTGCGGTGTGCAGGTTTTCCCTCTAAAGCCTGTGATTGTGTTTAGTCCCTGCCACATACTCCGAGGGTTGTCAAACTGTTGCTCCACCCTGTCCCTGTATTCACGTTTGGCTGCTTTGATCGTCTTCCGGAGTTGGTAATGTGTATGTTTGTAATCCGATGTTTTTGCAGAGGCAAAAGCGGTGCTCCGTGCCACCAGTGCCATGCGAACATCTCCATTAATCCAGGGTTTTTGATTTGATTTAACTGTTCTGGATGGGACGATATCTTCCACACATTTTCTGATAAATCCGCAGACCGAGTCTATGTACTCATCGATGTCATTAGCAGCCACGTGAAACATTTCCCAGTCCACGTGATCAAAACGGTCCCGCAGCGTAGACTCCGATTGGTCCGACCACCGGTGCACCACCCTCAGGGTTGGAGCTTCCTGTTTCAGCTTCTGCCTGTAGGCGGGCAGGAGCAGGATGGAGCGGTGATCTGATTGGCCGAATGGGGCATGGGGGGCTTTGTACGCATCCCGGAAAGAGGTGTAGCAGTGGTCAAGTAGCCGGTCTCCACGAGTGTTGAAATGGATGTGTTGGTGGAGTTTTGGTGAAACTTTCTTCAGGTTTCCCTTATTAAAGTCTCCAGTCGTGATAAACGCCGCCTCTGGGTGTGCGGTTTCCTCGCTGCTGATTGCGCTGTACAGTTCCCTGAGTGCTCGGTCAGTGTCGGCTTGTGGGGGAATGTAAACAGAATGGCCGACAATCATCAGGTACTCCAGGTCCGGTGAGCAGAAGGATTTGACGGGTGCACGTTCGCATAATCACACAAGCTGTTGTTGATCATGAAACACACACCACTGCCTCTGCTTTTCCCAGTAAGATCCTGTGACTTGTCCGCGCGGTGCACAGAGAACCCCGGTAGTTGTATTGTGGAGTCCGGTACCTTGTCCAATAGCCAGGTTTCTGTGAGGCAGATCACGCAGCAGTCCTGCATCTTTCGCAACCATGAGATCCGTGCCCGAAGCTCGCACAGCTTGTTCTCCAGAGACTGCACATTAGCCAGTAATAAACTGGGTAACGGTGGTCTGTTAAGTGCGCCGTCTCAGTCGAACCAGAACGCCAGATCTTCTCCCTCTGCGTCGGCGTTTGCGGCCTCCAGGGCAGAGAACAAAGGCGTCTCAGGTGAGATGAATGGGGGGTCACAGTCCAGAAAGCTGTAACTGCTCCATATTACAAGTCTGGTGAGTCTGTGGTTTATAACAGTGCTGTGTACTTTGTGCACTTTGTGTCAATTGATTTAATGGAAGATATCTGATAAGTCTTATACTTGTTGAATTGGATCACTTTCATTCTGATCGAAGGTACACAGTGTTTTCATTGGACAATACAGGTGACTTGAGCTCAACATATTTCTAGTAAAGAAAGCTAAACAAAGAACCTTTTAACAGCTTTACCCCTCTTCTAAACCAGTACACAAAGTTTAACAATCCAAAGCATTCCCCTTTTGCTCTTTTCAGGTGTAACAACTGCAGCTGAGTGGTTAACGCTGCGCACAGCTCCTTCACCGTGGGCAGAGTTGGAGTTTGAAAACATCGTCCTCACCGTACCATCAGATGCTATTCGGGATCTGGAGCGCCCCGACAAGGTGGCTGCTCTCTGGGATGAAATCATGAGGGCCATTGCAGATCTGGCTGCCAAACCACACAAATTTCCCCGCAAGGAGCGCTTTGTGACAGATGTGCAGATTTCTGCCGGTAAATGCACTTTGCTTCACGTTTTATACTTGCCCACTGTCTCCTGCTGTGGTGACCCCTTGTGAAAAAGGGAGCAGCTGAAAGCTTTTGTATTTACTTGTTTCTTATTTGCTTTGCTTATGGAGAGTCCCAATGACATGACGCCTGTCCCTGACACATATACAGACAACCATTTACATTTATAAATCACAACAATTTGTAGTTTCCAACTTAAACAGGAAATGAATGTTTCTGTCATATATACACTGTTAGAATGATGAATGGCAATATTTGGTATGTTGCACTGTTCTCTTACAAAGCTATGTAATCTTAAAAAAGTACTAGTATCCCACTGTAGATCAACTTTCTATTCTTTGGTTAAGGCTGGATGCATGCAGGTTATCCTATCATGGCACACCATGCTTCAGCTGCTGAATTAGTTGGTGTTAAAAAAAGTAAAGAACTGTGGGGTCCCATCCATGAGTTGGGACACAACCAACAGAGAAGCTGCTGGGAGTTCCCATCACACACCACAGAGTGTACATGCAACCTGTGGTCAGTGTATGTGAATGAAGAGGTGCTGGGTCTCAACAGAGCACAGGTAGAGTAAATCAATTGGTGTTGAGATTAAAAATCTGTTATTTACTTTATCAGACATCATCATAAAACACAAGCACTTTTTCCGATTGTTGTTCAATGCAGGCTCATGACGAGTTGCCTTTAGCAAAGCGAAAGAGTCGAGTAGAGAAATACATCAAGGGAGGAAGGGAACTCAGTGACTGGAAGCTGTGGGTTGCCCTGGAAACATATCTGCAGGTGAGAGAGTTATAGAGAAATTTTGCTTGGTCCACAGTGAAGTAAATGCATGATATGAATAAGACTGAAAGTCTGTAACTCCATTTGATCCAGTCACACTTTAAATCTAGCAAGTGAACAACAAATCTGCATTTTAGCCACATACTCAAATTGCATCATACACAGGAGAAAATTACATAGCAAGGGGTAGACATGAACCTTAGAACAATAATAAACCAGTCACTGGTGGATGTCAAGAGGCAATTACTCCCAACAAGCAAACAACATAACAAACAGCAACAATTTTGTATAAAAGTAGTTTGGCTTGTTGTCATATCTACCTTCTCTGTAGCTCCAGGAAAAGTTTGGCTGGGATGCCTTCAAGAAGGTGTTTGCTGCGTACCACCGTATGAGTGACATCCCTGATGACAACAACACAAAGATGAACCTGTATGCTGAGACTTTCTCTCAGACTGTGAAGATGAACCTGACTGGCTTCTTTAAGGCCTGGGGCTGGCCAATAGAAGCAGCCACTGAAATGAAAATGTCCAAGCTGCCTTACTGGAATGATCACCCCATGACCCAGTACAGATAAACCCAGTGCCACTGCAGACTACAAAATATTAATGTTAGTTTTAATGAGTGAAACTGTTCTTTTTTGGTCTTTTTTTAAACCACATTAGTTAAAAATAAACCATATATGGAATCTCATTTTGACCTCAGATGTTTCTGTACACTACGCCAGCCTCTTGGTTCCTTTGTTTTTTAGGCCTGTTACACATAGAGCAAAATTAACCTGTGTAATTATTTAGTACGCTCACTGGTGGTGGTTTGTGGTTATGATGGTGTTTTTGTGTGGTTTTTAGTGGAACTAGTAATCATGTTTTTGTAGTAAGTATCACTTTAGTATGTTACATTATATGCATGACACTTAATATGTAAACCATTCACTGACAAAGTTTCATGTCTGTATTACACCAACAGGATAAGACAGAACTGGATTAGTTGTTTTCCCATTGACTGAGAACTGATACATAGACTAAATGACAGTAGTATAATGATCCTAGTAATCTTGATTGTTTGTGTAATTAAGTAAAAGTTTTGTCTAATAGCATGGAATCAATGCAGTTAAACTTAAAAAAAAAAGAAAGAATTGATGCCTACATTTGTTCTGTTGTTGAATGATTGCGTTTGGCTGAACCACAGATTCTGTGCAGTGAATCTAAGAACATTACATGGACTGCTGGGTTATAAAGTCAGCTCAAAGTTACGCTTTCTGTTTTACAGTGAACTGTTTAGTGCTGTTAGTGCTATGTAATGCTTTTACATCATACACTGCTGTTTGGCTGCAGCTGCTCATGTTAATGGCTTCTGTCATTAAATGTAAGGAGAGCCCCCACCCACATCCATCCATCCTTCCATCCATCCATCCATCCATCCGGGCACTTTGCAATTCTATGATTAGAGCGATGACTGAAATGAATTCAGTCTCACAGCAAGAAGGTCCTGAGTTCAATTCCATCATCAGGCCAGGCTATTTCTGTGTGGAGTTTGCATGTTCTCCCTGTGTTTGCATGGGTTCTCTCTGGGGACTGTGGCTTCCTCCCACAGTCCAAAGACATGCAGTTAGTAGGTTTAAGTTAATTGGTAACTTGCCCATAGGTGTGAATTTGTTTGCAAATGGTGTTTGCCCTGTGACAGACTGCTGACTTGTCCAGGGTGACCCATTTGAGAAAATCGTTTCCAAATCCATATCTTGGGAGAACAGTAAATAAATATGACCACTCTATCCTGTCAAAAGCTTGACGAGCGTCAAGTGATAATAATGCTGTATCTTTAGCATCAAATTTCTCGTGAATTATATTTAGAACCGTTCTTATATTGTGAAACCCTTGACGTTTTGGCACAAAGCCATTTTGATCATTATGAACTAAATGTGATATATAGGGGTCTAATCTCCTTGCTAAAACTTTACAAAGTATTTTAGTGTCAACCCCCATCAGACTTATTGGTCTAAATGATGAACGCTCTGCAGGGGGTTTGCCAGGTTTCAGTATCAAAGTAATCATTGCCTGTCTCAGAGTGGGTGGGAGAGCTTCATTTTGATACGCTTCTTCATACATGTTAAAAAGTGGAATTAATAATTTGTCTTGGAAAGTTTTATAAAATTCAATCGGAAAGCCATCTGGCCCAGGTGCTTTACCACTGTTAATGCTTTTGATAGCCTGTGATATCTCTTCAGTAGTTAGACGTCTGTCTAATTCCTGCTTTGTGTTTTCTGTTAGCGTCTGAAACTGAAGTTGATCTAAGAATATGTCCTGTTCTTCTGAGGTTTGAGCACATTCTGATTTATACAATTTTTCATAAAATTCTCTAAAGCTGTCATTAATTTCCAATGGATCTACTGTTACATTCCCTGAAGAGGTCTTTATACTATTAATTGCTCTTTCACTCTGCATTTTCTTAATTCTCCATGCCAAAAGTCTACCTGCTTTCTCTCCTTGGTCATAATAAGATTGCTTCAGCCAACCCGTTCTCACTCCCAAAGCGTAACATTTTACGCTAGGTGACAAATCGTCACCATATTACGTTTTCGGCTACCCACCACGTTCCTAAATGACGACCTCGGAAAAAGAGGAAATATGAGAACCGTCTGGACTGAATCTACACATGTTCGCTCTTTTTCTTCAAATCGCTTAGAAACACGCTATTTAACATCATTAAAGTCCTGGTTAAGGTCAGGAATAAGGTTATGGTCAGGGCTAGGGATAAGGTTAGGTTTAGGGCTGGAATACAGGGCTGGAACGTCTACTACCGCGGGAGCGTCATTGCACTGGATTCCAGCCATAACCCGCCGCGTACCCTAAGAACGCCGAAGGTCTCCTTTCGCGTTCCTCAGGAACGCCGCGGGACGAGACAAAACGTCGACATGTTACGCCTCGGGAGTGAGAACGCCTGTTCAGCCATATTAGACTTTTTGCTGCTGCATCAGATGATAATTTATTATATTCAGTTCTCAGACGTAGCAACTCACTTTGTTTTGTTGAGTCGTTGCTAACGTTTAAGTCTAATTCCAAAGATTTATTCTTTGTACTCGTAAAGCTAAGAATTTCACCTCTAATATATGCTTTGAATCCTTCCCATCTCACTGAGGCACAAGTTTGATCTGTATTTAACTCAAAGTAATTTTCTATTTTCTCCTCTATAAATTTAACAAATTCAGGATTCTGCAGCCATTTTGTTTGAAGCCGCCAGTGAGGGGGGTTATGGATAAACTTTCCTAGATGGATACTCAGTGAGATAGCTGCATGATCACTGATCACTATGCTATCATACTGACACTGTTTGATCCTTGATAAAAGTTCTCTTGAGACAAGAAAGTAATCTATACGTGAGCGGGATTTATGTATACTTGAATGACAGGAGAATTCTATTTCATCAGGATTTTGTTCTCTCCACACTTCTACCAAGTTGATATCTGATATAAATCGATTTATTAGTTGTCTAGTTTGTGCTTTATATGTATCTGAGCCTGTTGAGCGATCCATACTCGGATTGAGAGTACAGTTAAAGGCTCCTCCAATTATATACAGTCCTTGCAAAGCAGATACAGTAAGAAACAGATCTTCAAAAAATTTGGGCTTATTTTCATTTGGGCCATAGAGACTCACCAAGTTTAAAGTAATAGAAAGGATGGTACCCTGAGTGATTACGTACCTACCAGCAGGGTCTTTTATTATTTTCGTCATTTGGAATGGTATGCTTCTATGAATCAAAATAATTACACCTCTTGCATAGTTATTGTATGATGCGTGGATCACCTGGCCAGGCCATCTGTTCCTCACAGACTTTAGTTCACAGTCTGTCAGATGTGTTTCTTGAAGAAAAACTATTTTTGATTTCAATTGCTTGATCCTGCTTATAACCTGTTTCAGTTTGATTAGTTTCCTGAGACCCCGGACATTCCAACTAGTGACTTTTATGTCAGAGATATTGCGGTGTTTAGTTGGTCCATACTTGGAGTTTTCATTCTGTAATATTAAGTAAAGTAAGTAAGTAAGTAAAACTTTATTTATATAGCACCTTTCAAGATAAAAATCACAAAGTGCTTCACAGAAGCTAAAACCTAAAAATAAAAATCAACTAAAAGCAAGTTTAAAAAGATGGGTTTTTAGCTGTTTTTTAAAAGCGACCACTGAGTCCACAGATCTCAGGCTCAAAGGGAGAGAGTTCCACAATCTGGGGGCCACAGTTCCAAAAGCTTTGTCGCCTTTTGTTTTCAGCCTCGTGTGCTGGACAGCAAGCAAGCCCTGGTCACATGACCTCAGGGACCTGCTGGGAATGTATGGATGCAAAAGTTCACTTATATATGTTGGTGCTTGTCCATGCAGAGCCCTGAAAGTCAAGGTCAAAACCTTAAACTGGATCCTGAATTTAACGGGGAGCCAGTGCAGCTGAATCAGCAGGGGTGTGACATGGGAGAACTTGGAGGACTTGGTCAGAAGCTTTGCAGCAGCGTTCTGAACAACTTGCAGACGATCCAAAGAGGCTTTACATAAACAAGTAAACAAAGAATTACAGTAGTCCAGACGAGATGAAACAAATGCATGAATGACAATTTCTAATTCGGAGCGCGATACAATGGGACTCAGCTTAGCAATGTTTCTCAAATGATAAAAACAGGAGCGAACCAAAGATTTTACATGGGCATCCAAAGTCAGAGCTGAGTCAATACTAACACCAAGGCTCCTGATAGACGGTTTTGCAAATGTAGCAAGTGGACCCAAGTTTTCCATAACACTAGGTACAAAAGTTTTAGGAGCACAAACAAGAACTTCAGTCTTCTCCTCATTTAGTTGAAGAAAGTTTCCAGCCATCCAACATCTAATGGAGTCTATGCACTTGTGCAAAATTTGTAGCTTGGAAACATCATGGGGCTTAAAGGAGATATATACCTGAATATCATCTGCATAGCAGTGATACGAAATGTCCTTAAAAGTGCTCAATAAGTGTTGAAGAGGAAGTAAATACAGTAAGAACAATAAAGGCCCCAAAACTGAACCTTGTGGCACACCATAGGCAAGAAAAGTAGAAGAGGAACTGTACTTAGAGGTAGCCACAGAAAAGGATCGTTCATGCAAATAGGATTCAAACCAGTCCAAAGCAGCCCCTGATATACCCACCCAGTCTCTCAGCCTATCTAGCAGAATATGATGGTCCACAGTATCAAAGGCGGAGGTCAGGTCCAACATCAACAGAACGGAGCATTCTCCTGCATCACATCTCATCAAAATGTCGTTGGAGACTCTAAGAAGTGTAGTTTCAGTAGAGTGAGCTCTACGAAAGCCAGATTGGAATTTATCCAGAATGCTGTATTCATCTAGAACAGCTATAAGCTGCTTAGCCACAACCTTTTCTAAAATCTTAGAAATGAACGGTAATTTTGAAATCGGTCTGTAGCTACTGAGAAGAGAAGCATCAAGCTTAGGTTTTTTTAACAGTGGGTGAATAACAGCATTCTTACAATAAACAGGGACCTGACCAGAAACCAGTGAGGTATTAATAATTGTGAGCACACAGGGACCAATAGACTGAAAGACATTTTTAAACAAAGATCCAGGTAAAATATCAAGAGAGCAGGAGGATGCTTTCATTGAATTAACCAACTTGACCAGCTCAGGTAAGGACACAGGTAAAAATCTTTCTAAAATTACAGGCCTAGCTTGAGTTGGAGCAGACAAGAGAGACACAGAAGGAGAGATATTGTTCCTCACGTTACTGACTTTTTCAACGAAGAAAGAAAGAAATTTTTCACAATCTTCATTTGATGAAATTGGGACAGCAGGTGGAGCAGGAGCAACAATATCACTAATGGTGTCGAATAGTACCTTAGGGTTACCTCTGCTCTTAGACACTAAGTCTGAGAAATAGGCCGCCCTCGCATCTCGAACTGAAGTGTTAAAAGAGACTAAAAGGTCCTTTAGATGAAGGAGATGGACATGCAAACGCGTTTTCCTCCATAAACGCTCAACCTTACGGCAGCAACGCTTTAAGAAGCGAATGCTGTCATTTAACCAGGGAGACGACTTTGAAACCGGAGCTAGTCTAACTTTGACAGGACAAACATTGTCTAAAATACAAAGACAATGATTATTAAAAAGATTTGTTAAAAAATGAACATCATTATAGGGAGATAAAACTAAATTAAAAGCATCGGAAAATTTAACAGCACTAGAGGAAGTTAAGATGCGAGAGCTAACCACGTGTCGAATAGGAGAGAAGGACAAATGAAAAGACAGATTAAAAAGAATACAATGATGATCCGAAATAAAAATGTCCTCAGTACAAATAAAATCAATGTTTAAACCTAAAGTAAAAACAAGGTCCAGTGTGTGTCCTTTGGTGTGTGTGGGACCAGACACATGCTGAGTAAAATGAAAAGAATCCATGACGCTAAGGAAACCTCTGGCAAAGAGGTCAGAGTCATCATCAACGTGTATATTAAAATCCCCGACTATAACCAGTCTGGACAGCTTCAAAGTCGAGGATAAAAAGTCACTGAACTCCTTTAAAAACATAGTGTTTAGGCCAGGTGGACGATACACTACAGCGCAGTAAAATGGATCTTTATTTCCAATTCTAACCAGCTGTAGTTCAAAGGATGAAAAATGTCCGACCAACACTGC